TAAATTTTAATTATTATATCAAACAGATTTTAACAAATACTAATATTTATTTTTATTTTGGTTTTATTTTTTTAATAAGTATGTAGGAACTATTTTTTAGCGAGAGATACATTGCCAGTTGCCACTTTAAAGAAACTGCTTTGTGACAGGAGAAAGCCCAACTTCACTTCTTAAAGCACCTTTAATTTTCTTCTATTCAATTCCAATCTGATTCATTCAAAAACTGAACCACTATCAATAAGAAAAATTAGGAAAATAAATTTAAAAAAAATCAAATATTATTTTTCTTGGCTGTAAGAAACAAAATTAAGTGATATTTCTCTCTTTTTCTAATTTTTTCCCCTTCATAATTAGTAGAATAGTGGGTTTTGAATATTTATGTTGCATTATCTAATCATTTAAAATTTATGTATTTGTATTTCTTTTCTCCAGGATTATGGAGTAGAGATATTTCTGTACAGAACACAATACTTGGTTGATCTTGTGAGGGAGAATGTGGGAACTGTATTGAAGTTGGACTCCATCAGGAATGGCAATATGTGGAAAGGCATGGACATGCTTATCTTTAACACCTGGCATTGGTGGACCCACACTGGACGTTCTCAACCGTAAGATCATTTTCTTATTTTCAAACCACTGCTTAATAATTTCTTTGTGTACTTGAAAAGTTGCGCCTAACAATGGTCTAAAGACCAAGAGGCCAGTTGCAACTGAGGTGATGATAAATGTAGTTGTGCTTTTGCAGATTTGATTACATACAGGAAGGGAATAAACTGTATAAAGATATGGACCGTATGATCGCATATTATAAAGGGCTTACGACGTGGGCGAGGTGGATCAACGTCTATGTCGATCCTATCAAAACAAAGGTTTTCCTCCTGGGGATTTCTCCCTCCCATTACGAGTGAGTTCACCCCTTCAATTCCCTTCTTAAGTTCACTTCAGTTTAGTTATCATTGGGTAAGGTGATATACTTTAGTTTCCGTAAAAAACCTGGGTTAAAATATCAATTTAGTTCTTTAATTTTTAAATAAATACTAAAATTATCTTTTAACTTTAAAAATATCATAATTGCTTCTAAATTTTAATTTTTGATACTAAAATAGTTTTTTCGTTAACAAAAGTATCACGTAATTTGTTATCTTATCACAAAATTAATTTTTTTAAAGATTAATGATGTGTAAAATTAAACAATTATATTTTGTCATTGTGGTATATTTTCAATTACACATTAGATTGAAATGTAATTAAAGTTAGAAAATCAAATTAGCATTTGTAATCAAAGTTGGTAGTTTTTTTTAAAAGTTCATGAACCAAGTTAATACTTATTTTCAAAGTTTGAGGACTATTTTAGTACTAAAAATTAAAGTTTAAGAATAATTTTGATACTTTTTGAAATTAAAAGATAATTTTAGTAAAATTTAAAAGTTGAGGATCAAATTGATATTTTAACCAAAGAGCTATTACTGTAGAGCTCAAAGTTGTGATATGTATACAGTGGGAGAGACTGGAACGAACCAACAAAGTCATGTTCCGGACAGACGCAGCCTTTCTTTGGAACGAGGTATCCTGCAGGTACGCCAGCGGCTTGGTATGTTGTGCAAAAAGTACTTAATAGAATTAAGAAACCGGTGTATCTGCTGGACATCACTACGCTCTCGGAGTACCGGAAGGATGCTCACCCCTCAGCATATAGCGGGGAACACAGTGGCACCGATTGCAGCCACTGGTGTCTTCCTGGCTTACCGGATACTTGGAACCAGCTCTTGTACGCATCTCTTTTCGGTTGAAGACTAGGCTGTTGAACCATGTTGAAATTTAGAAGAAAACACATTGTTTTCTGCATTGGGATTTTTATTCAAACTAATGTATTAATTCTTGTGCCATTGGGCCAATAAGAGAAATGGGAAATCAATTGTAAATTTAAATTTATTTTTCTGCACAAGGGCTTACTGAATTTTAGGACATAATTCACTTCAAATTAAAAAGTGTAATTGCACCAAACCCGAAGTCCTTCTTCAGTCCGCGCTTGCACTTCGGAATGACCTGCAAAGCCCCGAGGTGAAACTCGGGGTAGACACTCCGATGCTTAAGTCAGCAATAATCGGGGCTACCTTGAAGGCGGAGATAAGAAAAGCTTAAGG